CAAAACACACCCCCCCCCCCCACCCCCCCCCCCCCCCCCAAAAAACTACCAACACTAATGCACCAACATTAACATTTGGCTATCGCGAGCAGCGAGACAGAAAATCCCCATTTTAGTACATACTGACTACAGAATAATTGCATACTACTGTCTGGAATATGTGTCAAGGCTTTAACTTCAGGAAAACATAAAAAAGGCGAATGGGTTGGCATTATCCATGCTTTAGAAGCCAGATGGGAGAGGAGGAATGTTAAAGAACTCCAAGAGAACAGATCTGGTAAGAGGTGTTACTGGTCACATGCAGAAATGTGGGCTTCTTCCCTGAATCTGTACGAAAGACAACCTCAACCCAGATTAAATTCCTTTAATAAACTGGTACCCAAGGCTTGCTTTTAACTTCTGAAATTTTCTTCTAAAACAACTATCCCTCCACCCACTCTCAAGGGACAGTGCCCTCTGCCCAAAACACAGTCCGACAATAACATGAGTATATTTACACTTTGACACTGGGCTTCTCTTTTTTAAAAAAGGCAAGTTTAATTGTTTTCCCAATTAAACTGTTTTCGTTTCTCTCTCTACCTGCTGGCAGGACAAGGTGAACAGTATGGTTCCTGTTATGGCAAAGCCAAAGTAGCAAAATTTATTTTACTGCAATAAAATTTTAGAAAGCGCAACTGCTCCAAGCCCTTTATTTTGTTAAAGGAATAAAATTTGCACTTGCGCTGACATTTTGTAGGCAAGGTTCCAGAGTGATGGGTTTAAAAACAGCTGAGTTACAATACCCTAAAGAACAATTTGTAAGAGAAATGGCAGCAACCGTTAACTAAAGCATTATATATCTGTTCATGCGTCTTTTCTGAGGCTGGGCTTTGAAAGTCATATCACTTTTAGCTTTATGTTTGTCTCAGCTTGAAAGTTACTTAATTTTAGATATTTAATGCTTTTATAAATCAGTGAGATTCCTAGAACTTTATGGCAAAAGTATGTACTCACTTGCCTCAATTATGAAATATCATTCCCTTAATACAGAAGAGGCTAAAGTCCAGTGGGCCCTAATGTTAGAAACTGATTACAGATGAGCATGCTGTTGACATTTCTCATTTAAGAACTTACTAGTTAATCTAGTGAGTTATGTTTTGCAGAACTTCATGCATATAATGAGAACTGCAGAGACCCAAACATGAAATAGGACAAGCATCTTGGTCCACGCTGACATTTGGAAAAAACAGTTCCAATTAAAGCAGATAGTCGTGGGGGTTTTTTTCCTTAAAAGACATTTCTTTTAAAGTTCACGTTGTTCACAAAAGTTAATTAGACCACAATGCATCATCTTTTTTCACGTTTTTGTCGCTGCCCTGAAAAGGATTATATAAAAAACAAATTAATCAGAGCTCAAAGTCAACGACAACTTCCATTTGGCTGTGCTGTGTTTTCCTTGGCTCCCTTTTCAGAGAAAGCATATATGGACTTACAATATGAACTGGTCTGTCAGAATGAAGCGCACATAAAATGCTCTTTAGAGCATTTATATTCCATTTAACAGCTTTTGATACTCTAGTTATAGACTAGTATAACTTACCTTTGTTTCATGTTCCAATTTAGAATTGGAAATTAACTATTATATATTTATTTTGCTCTCTAACAAAAACTAAAAATGCAACATCTGTTTATTACCCTGCCCCAGCAGTTTTGGGTCTTGGGTAGATTATAAACACCCAGGATAATTACCAATAGTAACACCCAGGTAATTACCAATTCCTACTGTTTTCATTCAGCTGCTCACAGTTTTCCAAGCCCTTCCTTAAACTGCCTATCATTTCTCAGATTTACTCTAAGCTAAGCACCTAATTCCGAGCAAGAAATTAGTTCTTTAAAGAAATACGTATTTATTTGTTGAAAAGATAACTCCCCAATACAGTCAAATACCAAAGAGAAGCAATGCATTCTTCACCTAGACCAACACAGATGCCACCCTGGAAGCAGCGCTTTAGTCCAAAGGTAATGAGCTTCACCTACTATCCAGCAAGAAGCCTACATGTGCTCTTTTCTTCTGGGAGCATCCCAGGGGCGTGCTGCAGGGCATATACACTTATAAAGGTAACTGAAAAAGCCCACGCCACACTACAGTCTTTCTGAAGACCTGCAGCCCATTCCTAGTCGGAGGACAGATCCAAGCCTGATCATGTAACCAAGATGGGGGTTAATGAACTACCAGGAAAAACACTTGCACGTAACAGGTTCATAGGCTGGGAGTAATTAATGTGACCTGCAGCCTATTCCTCAGTCTGGCAGAATCTCCTGGCAAGTCTCCTTTGTAAGTGCTGCTCCAGGCCGGAGCACCAAGGAGCAGGACAGAGGCTGTGACCAAACACGCACGCGGCACAGCACCGGGCAGGGAGCTGACGCCACCGATTACACACAGTTCGGGCAGATAACGCAAAGCTGCGTGCGACACGAAGAGCTCAGAATAGCAGTTTCTTCTCTACCTTAACTATGATTCGCTAATGCTCATTTTGATCATAAAAAACCTTTTTGACATGGAGAAGAACCTTGCCACCTTGAGAAACACCTGCTATTCAATCATTTTCTGTCATCAAACAATCATTTACTCCATGCAGCAGGTCTGTATTCCTTTTATATATATCCACTAGATATTTCAGGTCACTAGCTACTCCTGGAAGGGCCTGCCTGCTGCCCTTCAGTGTTTCAAAGGAACCATTCTTTTTGCAAAATGGCACGCTACGGAAGACAGATCAGCAGAAAGCCTCCTATTCAACATTCAGCATATAGTACAACTTCTGCTTGCTAGAGCATCATCACAGCTGTATGTATATTCACAGCAGTTAATTTTTTATCAATACAAAGTTGTTAGAGGGCAGGATTCACACATTCACTGTTTTTAGTAAGAGAAGAATTCATTTTCTACAAGAAACCATTTCATCACAGTGTATAGTTCTTGCTTTCAAATTCTGTATTCCTCCCAGTTACTCCATTTAGAAGTTCTAAGGAAACGAAACTGTGCTTAGGCTTTTCTTGGAAAAAATACACACTTTCACATTTCAAGCCTTGCCTTTGGCCCTTTACTTTTTTGGGTAATGTTAAACAGTTGTACTACACTGAATGGTCTCAGTATCCTCTTAAGTAGCCAGAAATTACAGACTAAGAACCATCACTACCTGGCTCTCACCACCACCACAAGAAGTCAGACGAAGCAGCACCGAGGCAGCACTGAGTCATCGAGTCATCCCAGCACAACCCTTTCGCAAGTCTAAGGCCTTTTCAACCTAAGTCTGCTCCAGCTGGGTC